GTTTAGGCCCAGGGCATCAAGTAAAAGGGGGCATAATATTTGTCCAATAAGATGTACTATATGTATATATATTTTAGCCCAAAAGTGAAGTCCAGGTGCTCCAGTCCAAGAAGAAACGCGTCCGGGGAGTGAAGGCGGAAGACATGATTGAACGGAAAATATCTTGAGAACTTCAATCGTCAAATCAGTGACGACAACCCTTGAAAATCGTATTGTTGTGTTTCGAGGCTGCAAAATCGCTGAACTATCTATTTCTCTTGGTCCGATTTCTATCCCTCTCTTATTCTCAATTGCTGTAAATCGACTAATGCTACTAGCCTGCTTGATTGGGTTCGATTCAATCGACTTTTTTTTTTCTAACTTCTCGCTCGGAGTTCGATCAGCGATTCACTGTGCTTGATTGGGTTTTTTTTTCTGCCCTAAAACAAGAGGAAAACGGAAGAAAGTGTCTCAAAAGTTCAACTGTTCAATTGATTTGGGAGATTGAGGTTGTAAATCGGTGAGTTTGTTTTGCCATCGTTTGTTTCTTATTTATTTCTAAACTTCTTGAAATCAATCATCATTTGTTCATTATCTGATTAAGTGATTAGTTTGAATACAGGATAAGGAGTTATATCACATATCTGAAAGTTGGATGAAAAAGGATTGTTGGATTCGAGATAAGAATTGTGAGTTTGAGGGGGGATGTTAGTCTATATATTATTAGCCCACTTGTTTATGAGCTCTTTAGTCTTTAGCCCATTAGAGTTTTGTCTGGCTAATATTTATATCCGCTTTATTCTTTGTAGTCTTTATGTCTTTCATTGAGAACCCTTGTAATTTCTCTTTATTATAATCATATGACAATGTTATCAGTAAGTGCATGCATAGAAAAAATGCCCAATCTCCGCTTTCGATTTACTTTGAAAGATGTTATAATATTCTTACTCTCCAGTTTGTCAAATGACAAACTGCCCCCTAAGCAAGACTGTCGTATATCGGGTCCTAGTTCGCTTAACAACCAATGGTAGCGGTATACATTTATAGAAAAATATGTACGTGCAATATTAATAAATATAAAAATTAGGCCCTGTTTGATTTGGATCTGACTGGGTCAGGTCAGACAAAAATGTCTGACTCGGTCAGCTCCACGTGTTTGATATGCCTCAGCTTTGCATCTGACCGGGTCAACAATGTCTGACTCGCTCATACCCAAAAAAATTGCTGACTGAATCTGATTGAAATTCATTCCACTATTGCCCCTGCACCACCCTCATCCTCCTTTCTCAACCATCAATTTAATCCCTGGAAAGGGAAAAAGAAACTAGAACACAGGCGCACAAAAAAAAGAAACACGAACAAAGACTGCATCTGCATCTGATCAAAGGAAGAAGACAACTCAAAATTGGAATTAGGCAGTTTTGGTCCTTGAAGATACCCATCTTGGCCGAATCTACTACAACTTTAAATTGTCTTGCATAACTATTTTCTGGAAATTACTAGTTGGACCCTGAACTTTTATAATCAATTATTATTATTATTATTATTATTATTATTATTATTATTATTACTACTACTACTTTTATTATTATTATTATTATTATTATTATTATTATTATTATTATTATTATTATTATTATTCACTAGAACATCAGAGTAAAGTGGTCATTTTGCATCAGTCAGCACATTCAGTCAGATGTACAATCAAACAGAATGGTTTCTTACTCAGTCAAAGTTTATTACTCAGACAGACCTTTCTCAGTCAGCACTTTCTCAATCAGCAACTATCAAACGAGACCTTAGTTAGCTGATAATTGTAAAAAAATGCATAAGTATTACTATATTAATAAAGTAAACGCATACAATAAATGTTCCACTAGACTTTGACAATATCAGGCCACTGCCCACTCGGAACCCACACACATATATTTTTCCTAATTCTGACCCTCTAAGAAATCAAAAAAACACCGCTAGCTTATAGTCTACCGCACTGGGTACCTCTCCACTAATATTTATACTATGATATGATTAAGTTTATGAGGTTAATAACAATATTTTATAACTTAAATCTTATAATTAATTTCCAATTCTTAACTTCTTTGATAACCGGCCCCACATTTCGCATGCGAGCCGTAATACTAAAGCCGAAAATGTCCTATTCGTCGGTTGTTGAAACAATTAATAATCCTTAGATTATAAATTTGTCCAGGACATGAATTTTAACAATAAAAAAGTAAGAATGCAGAATTTAATGGAGTTATAATAATCATGAAGATGAAGAGTAAATGAACAACGAACAAGAAAACATAAAATTTAAAATCTCCGTTAAAATGATCTTGCAAATATACAAATATAATTTTGCTGAGGCACAGAACTTACAAGATATAAATGGAAATTTCTCTTTCTATTGACATATTAATGAAATATGAAATCTTCTTCAATTATGAAGATGAAAAACATTCTTCTCAAAGTACTCTACAGGAGAAGGTTGAAGGGTGAGAATGCATGGTGATTGATGTGTAAGAATTGTGTTATGACACAGAATGTCCTTTTATAGGAGTGAGGCTAGGGTTTTCAGTGAACATGGGGCTAGTACCCGGCATAACAATAATCTTTGATTTTTTTTTTTTTTTTTTTTTTTTTTTTTTTTTTAACGGCGAAACAACATATATTAGCACAAAAAAGAACTTAAGCGAAAAGCTCAAGTCAGGAAGCAAAGGAGTTTAAAGTTGGAGACATACACCAAGCAAACCAATCTAAATTACAAAACTTGGATCTAGATTTAATCCAATTGAAAGTGCTAATACTAATATCATCCGCAACCACCATGACCGCTCGCTTTTTGTTTCTAAACATCAAAGCATTATGCGCATTCCAAATCATCCAGAGAGTAGTGTAAATGAGAGACATCACCATATTTTTTCTGTTTTTGTCACCAACCATCGAGATTATCCAATCTCTCAAATGTGAAGAGGAAGCAGGTTGCACCTCCATGATAGAAGACCATCTAATCAGCCAACTCAAAATCTTCATAGCAAAATTGCATGAAAAGAAAATATGGTCTTGTTACTTGGATATTTTGCCGCTGCTAGCATCTATGTACATGTAATCCTCATTGACTTGGTCTTGTTACTTGGATAATACTTGTCGTGATAACAGTTGCTAGTTCTTGGGATATAGTCCAAACTAGTGTAGTGCTCATGCTCCGCATGGGTCAGAATGATTTTTGTTTTTTTACTAAGTGTGTGTACATAAGGTACTAAGAAGATGATTGTTCATATTACGAACGTCGGTACATAAAATTTCATCATTTAAAACAAAAAAAGAGAAGTTTACAAAGACAATGGATTGCATATTTCTAAGGAAGATTAAAACAATACAACCAACATACTTTTAACATCTTTGTGAACTCTTGATTTGCTTTTCTCTGCCTCAAGCGCCTCTCCTCAGCCTCCTATTTCTTTCTTTGCATTATGTATTATGAAAACAAATAAAAATGAGATCAGAAAAGAGATATCCGTACAACCTACATATACATCATGAAGCCACAAAAATAAAAATAAAATAAGAGGGTATGCATGAAATTAACTATTTGAATATGTAATACCTTCCCCTTTTGAGAGTAAAGTTAATGCCTGAAGGAGGTAAAAAGCACTGTGGATGGGTTAATATTTTACCATTCAGTTTGCTAACATGAGTCCTACTTAAAAGAAACACATGTACACCCATACACATATACACCCATATACATAAAACCTGTCTAAAATCGCGAGCAAAATCACAAAAAATCAGCTTACTCGATCAGCGTCCTACTTCTATTTTCTAAATTTAAGCATCATATTTTCAACTTTTTTCTTAAGAGTAAACTTCTGTCATATATAATTTTTTTTATCTCAAACCCAAAGTTTTTCTCTAGAAAAGTTTTTCATGTCGATTTTTGAAAACGATGATTTTACCCTTTTATATATTTAACATTTTTTTTATCAAGTTAACAACATTATTTTAGATGTAAGTAATACTCAGACCAACCTGTCTAGTCTCAATTTTGTCCGGTCTTTAACCAAATTTGCAATTACAGCTTCACCTTCAAAATGTGACATCTCCCTTGTAATTGCCTATCCCCCATCATAATCATCAACAAAATCTTCAACTGTGATATGTAGAATATTTTTTTACTAACTAATCTGCAACTCTTAAAACTTGCACATCATCATGGTTAATTCACATAATGAGGGTTAATTTGGTAATTCTTGATTTCATATTAGCATTTGAAGAGCAAACCACGTTTACTACTTCATACCATAAAACTATAACTAACATTATAAAAAATTTTAAACTAAGTTTTGTGTAATTAATTGATATTCGCAAATTCCAAAGATGAAATTTAATTTATTTTGGCTAATAATGCCAATTTCAACTTGAGAATTGAAAGGGACGGGTCAATATTTTTTTTTTTTTTTTTTTACTACTTGCAACATTACCAAACTTGAAGGTTTTGCCACAAACATATACAGTCACATATAAACCAATTCATTGTTTTCTTGAAAACGACCAACATACTCCTCCCTCTTCCCCTGCCTTCTTAACTCTCTGTAAACACAATGTCCAAGAAGGGTAAATTAGGATTTTTCATAGTTTTAAAACTAAATCATAAATTTGGTCCATGCGGTATTATACTAGTTTTTTAGAATCGTTAAATGAAACTACTTAGCTGTTAATTATTATAAAATGACGATTTTACACCACCAAACCTAGAAAAAAAGGTTACAAATTTGGTCCCTTAAAATCTAACTACTCAACTATTATTTTTTCAAAAATCACGACTTTGCCCTTCACCAAACCCCCAAAAAAACATTAAATTTGGTCGTTCTGGTATACTAATCTTTCGGGTCCCCTTGGTGGTCTGTGGACCAATAAATCTTTTAAAAATGATGATTACAAAACTTGAAATTGAATTGGGTTAGTGACCAAAAGATCATCTCCCAACAATCTGAACTTCGTCACCACATTCAGCAATTATCTTAGCATGTCTTCCAATCATCTTGATCAAAAGGGTCTTCAATGGAGACAATTGGGTATTCACTCACAAACGATTTGTAAAGATCCTTCAGTTGTACTCCTGAAATATTTTTTGACCCGTTGTTGTTCTGTATACACACATATGAATTAAAATGATCAATAAAATAAAATGTATTTGTGGTGTTGGAATATTAAATAAAATTAGTCATACAAAAAGCTACCTCTTCTTTGAAGTTGAGATCATAAGTTTTGTCTTTTCCATAGAATATAGATGTAGAAACATCCATTCCAATCATAACTTTTCTAGTGTAACCAGCTTGACCAATGGTTGTTTTAAGCAACTCAAGTCCTTCTTTGTTTTCATGAATATTAGGAGCATATCCACCAGCATCGCCAACATTTGTTGCATCTTGACCATATTTCTTCTTAATAACAGACTGTGAGTGTGAGTATGAACATAAGTAAAGATTAGTTATGGTATACTTCAACACCCATTTTCATGGCTTCCTTAAAACTTGAAGCACCAGTTGGAAGAATCATGAATTCCTGCATAGCAAGCTTGTTTCCAGCATGTGATCCACCATTGATGACATTGAATGCACGTACTGGTAAAACTAAGTTCTTGCTCCCAACCAAGTTTGCTCTACCTCATGCTTTGTAGAGTGCAACAGACACCGGTAGAATAACATTTGCTCCAAGCTATATACAATAAAGTAGATCATTTATAAATGAAAAAAGAAATAAATAAATTTAAGATGTGAAAGTTGAGACTATACTTTACCTTTTGCTTGCACCAACCCCACTCGTTCTTAGTTCCATCGTTCTTGAACCATGTAGTTGTAAATACCAGTTTGATCAGTTGGGTCCTGTAATGTGAACATATATGTTTAGATTATGTATGTCAACTAAAATAGTAATATTTAGATTGATATTGAGGGGAAAGAGTGAATTGATGAAACAAACGTTGCCTATAATAGCAGGGCCGATAATGGTGCTCACATTGGAAGCAGCCTAATCATAGAATGTAAAAGTTAGTTTAAATAGACATTAGAGAGTGTCAAAAAATAAACAAAAAACATCAATTTACATTCCAAAGTATTAGGTTACCTTGGAAACACCTTTTCCAAGGTAGTCCGAGCCTCAATCTCTTAGATCAAGTGTTTGATAGATGCTTACAAGACAAAAATTAATGTGCATATGTTATTATTACATCTGAAATTCTAGCAAAATACCTGCTTGGCTACGTGCAAATTAAATCAAATGCATGCATGTCAACTGTCAACACCATTGATATACGAAATAAAAAGGCTACATATATTTAAAAAGTTTTGAACCAAATATGACAAAAGTAGAAAGATAGGCATAGATCGATTCAGGGAAATCATTGTGAGAAAAAGTTTAAGTCATGGGAGAAATAAATCTTACCGGTGGATGCCCCACTGGGAACAGTAGCTTGGTGCCATGTACCATTTGATAGTGCAATATTCACCTATACCACAAAAATATTAGCATCCGAATTTTAGAAAAAGTAACTAATCGAGGATCAATCAAGATATGAAACGCCGTTTCTAGATTATGATTAATATAATGTAAAATCAAAGTGATGAAGTCCGAAGGGAAGTTACAATAAAATCAAAGTCTAAGCAACTTCAAAGACGAAATTAAGGGTGATATACCTGGAATTCGCAAGTCGACCCTGAAATCCCTATCAAATTCATCGAAACCTACATAAGAATGAACTGAAATTAGACATCGACCTATGGAAGTGGAGACGATGGTTGGGTGAAAAAAGATGGTGGGTGATAATTAGTAGTTTAGGACGATAGTAAGCGACCATGATGATGAAGGTGGATGACGGTTGTTGCTTGTCGTGTTTTTCCGATTTACAGATAAAATCGGAGACCATTAGAGGTTGAATCGGAGACCATGAGAGGCAGCACTTAGCCAAATCAAACCCTTGAATAGCTCCTATAGCGGTTGTAACGCTTGGTCCAGGTATGAAATAAATCTTATTATTTTTCAAGTCTTGAATGGATCTCGACGAGTTGGGAGGCTCCAACTCGTCGTGTAGAGGTTTCCCCAACCACATATTTTAATGACCCAACTCGACGAGTCACGAGTTGGGGTGTCCCAACTCGACGAGTTGGCACAGGAAGAGAAAACCCTAATTTCGGGTGTTGCATCCTATATAAAGGACCTAACTTCTTTGGCTGACCTCCTTACCAGCCTCCTTTGCCCAGAGAAAACCCTAAAATCGTTTTCCTCTTGTATATTGAGTAGTGTGAGTTTAAGAGTGTTTGTTGGTGGTTCTTAAAAGGAGTCTTGAAGAGTGAAGCACTTAGCTTGGAGGAGTGACTCTAGATCCAGAAACTCTTCACCAAAGGCTACATCTTTGAGGTATAAAGTCGTCACATTGGCATGTAGTTTATTAGATCTATTTTCTTGAAGTTTAGATTGAGTTTTGGGACTTTGGTTGAGTTTTCCAAAGAGAATAGGTTTTCAGGGATTGATGGAGTAGATCTGACCTCTACATGACCTCTTGAGGCTTAAAGTTGCAAAGTTTAATGGCCTCCATGTCCCATTCATGCATTATGTTCATTATGAAGCCAAAAATGAACCTTAGAGGGTGTTTCTAGCATGCATGGACGTAAAGTTGAAAACTTTATGTGATTTGCCTACCTTTTGACATCATATCTGTATTTTGGAACGTTGTAGTGGGAGTTTAGGGGCTTAATGGGTCAAGACCCTCTTTAAAGAACCGGGGTTTGGGTTTTAAGCCTTATGGTTGGTTCTTAAGGGTAAAGTTGGAAACTTTAACCTTCTAGACAACATTATGGAAGGGATCTGAGGTTTGGAGTCCTTGGATTCAAGAAAAATGGCTTAATGCATTAAGTGGGTTGGTAGACTGGAGAACTCGATGAGTTCGTAGGGGAACTCGGCGAGTTGGTTTGGGGTTGTCACGATTTTGATGGAAAGGGGGGAAATTCGACGAGTTTTAGGGAAAATCAACGAGCTAGATCACGATATCGCGATTCTGCCTTTGAGGGGAACTCGACGAGTTGAATGATAACTTGACGAGTTGGGTCAACTCGGAGCGTTGACTTTGACTTTGAATTTGACCAAGGTTGACTCTTAGGGTTTGAAGTATTGTGTTGAATCTAAGGAGTTGCTTATGTTTAGGGATTGAGTGGAGCTGATACTTGGAGCCAGGACCTTTTCAGCTACTGTCAGTATTTGAGTTGAATTTCCTCAGCATATCAATGGGTCGAAGGCACCAAGGCCGACCCATATTATTTAGCTGTAGTGGTTATTTGTGGATGTGCTATCTATGTGATGTATTCATGTGAAGACCATGTAGGGGTTCCCATGGAAGTTGCTCAAGACCATGTGGGGGTTCCCATGGCAGTTGGCAAAGACCATGTGGGGGTTCCCATGGAATTCGGAGTAAGACCAATGAGGGTTTCCATGGCATCCTTATATGTTGTTGTATGCATGGAATATGTGGAATTATGTGGTTGCATGTGTGGTGTTTATAAGGAACCCACTAAGCATTAGCTTACAACTTGTTGGTTGTTTTAGGTACCTCGGGATCTAAGGGCAAGGGCCCGACATGATGGCGCAGCACGCACCCTCCAGCGTTTTGTTATGGATACTCTAATCTTTTGAATAATTTAATCGATGTAATGTATTTTTGAAAAATACTTTATGGTTTGAATTTACAATTAAGGAACGTGGTTATTATTTAAATGAAATTTTTATTTGAAAAATTGGGCTGTTACAAATATGTATCAGAGCCTTGGTTTGAGGGATTCGGGCACACTCTCTGGTGTGTCAGAATTCAAACCGAGGGAATGGTAAAATTGTTTTTTTCTCAAAAATCAAAAGTTCAAAACTTTTTGAAACTGATTTGTTTATAAGGAAAAGGGAGAGTGCAATGCGTGTAATCGACCGAGCTCAAGTAAGTGTTTCCCTAATATGTTAGCCATGCTATAATTATATTTGGAAATTGATAATTGGATATAATTGCTATATGTATGCTTTCAAAGTTGTATACGTTTAGGGTTGCATAGCCCTAGAATGATGAATTCTGCCTTATTACTGTTCCTTGTCTGGATTGTGGTCTAGGGTAGAAGCTTATTTGAAGGTCTATGTGATTCTATTTGTGTATAACTTGCATGCATGGGGCAACCTACTATGATTTATTTGAGTTCTGATTGATGGAGATGGAGGAATCTTAGCATAGATAGAATGAGGTAATGCTAGGATGCGAAGTTATTTGAGTAATTATGATGTGGGTCTTGATGGAGTAAAGTGGGGGAAGGTTAGAGGTATTGGTGTGGAGCCTTGGGGGTAAGGTTCAGTTTGTAGGTGTGAAGGTACCCGAAGGTTACTACCGTACTACTGAAAGCACATGACTTGTACCTGAACCAATGTTAGACCTGAAAGCTCTAAGGAAACCGGTGAGGACGAGGGATTCCTTTTTCGAATATCCTTATCATTCTGTTTTGTGGTATTCTCAGTTGAGGATGGTGTTGATCACTCGAGGTTCAGGATCAAGATCGTGATCTGGGTCAGGCTCCGATGCAGAGCCCATGATGAGAGGCTGCGCGATCTTATCGCAGCCGAGGTGACTTGTGGCATTCTTGACGCTACCCCGGTGATTTTCGGGACCGTCAAGGAGGGTATTATGGAGATCATTGAGGATCGGCTCAGGTCTTTTCGAGCCGAGATTGCTACAGGCCAGGTTGGGGCCAGAGCTCCCTCGTTCCGGGAGTTCAAGGTGTGTGGGGCGCTCGAGTTCTTTGGGGTCAGGGACCCCATCACGAGTCGACGTTGGGTGGTAGACATGGAGAATGCCCATCGCATGAGCTTTTTCCCCGAAACGGCAAATGTGGGGTTCGCATCTTGTATGTTGAGGGACCGAGCCAGGGATTGGTGGGAAGAGGTTACCCGTGAGGTAGGGTCAGCAGGTGTGGCCGAGATGACGTGGACAGAGTTTGTACGGAGGTTCGATTTGGAGTTCACACCGTCTATTGAGGTGCATCGGTTAGTGAGGGAGTTCCAGGACTTGCAGCAGACCACCGAGACTGTAGCGGAGATCGCCGCCAAGTTTCGGGAGCGAGCATTATTGGTTCCACAGTACGCTGCAGATAGTGATGTAAATTTTACCCGCGGATTTGGGTATCCGCGAGTACCCGACCCTAACGGGGCGGGGACGGGGATGAAATTCCATACCCAAAGCGGGGACGGGGCGGAGATGGGTATGGTACTATCCACCCGTTTAAGACCCGAATATATATATATATATATATTATATATATATATATATATATATATATACATATATATAATTTCACTTGAAAATATTAAATCACATTAATTTCTATATGCTTAAAGCCTTAGACTCTTTGAAAATTGTAGACACCATCTTTTACTATTCCAAAGCTCCACACTCTTAAAGCCTCACCAATCACCGTCTTTTAGACTCTTCAATTCTTCTTCGTTCTTCATACATTCATACTCCAACATTAAATTTAAATCTCATCTTTTCACTCTTACGTTTTCTCCACTCTCGCTAGTCGCCAACATCAGTACATCATATGTTTTATAGCTTTCAAGCAATCAAGTGGTTCAATTATTCAACTCTCGATTACTGTCGTCGCAAGTGCAAGATACTCGATTTTTCTGCATTCGATTTCCTTGTGTAATGTAAATGATAATCGAAAGTTTCTTAACATGATAATAAAGTATGTATGAATCGTTATTTCATCTTAATCAAATTTCTTTTGAAGGGATTAAGTTACGGAAGTTTGTATAAT